CCGTCCAACTCTACAAGCCAATGCGCCCTCTACTGGATAGCTAAAGCGTGTTGGGAGCTTTATTCTTTTTACGAAACTTCATTGTTCAAACACACAATAGCCAAAGTGTGACTGGCGGCAGACATGTCACTACACGTGAGATCTCTTCTGTGACTCGCCCCCTGGGTTTGCTGCTGCTCCAGAACACAAATAAATTAATTTAAAGCCGAACTGCTCATTTAATGCAAAAGAGAATGTGAACTGCTCAGCTGTACAAAGCAGCCTAAATCAGCGGTCAGTGAGAAAATGTTGGGGGCCCCCCCTGTTGCCGTGTAGGTTCTGCCGTCATTGAAGCGGCAAGGAGACTACGGGGTTGCCTCACTGAATCAAGCAGTGGCTGTCACAAGGAATGCGCGGCTCTCAGTACAGTGCCGGGGCTCTGCAGGAGGCGGGGCATCTCGTCAGTACACCGGCAGGGCCAGTGGCAGATTCGATAGGGGGGGAAATAATTAATATTATTACTGGGCTGGGGCAGGCGGCACCGCACCGTCCCTCCACCAGCACTGCCACTCCTGCAGGCACACCTGCACCTATGTATGTATATATGGATATATATTCTCATATTTTTTGTATAAATATATTCTCATATGTGTGTATATATATATATACACAGTTGTGTGAAAAAGTGTTGGCCCCCTTCCTGATTTTTCATTGTTTTGCACGTTTGTCACACTTTAATGTTTCAGATCATCAAAGAAATTTAAATATTACTCAAAGATAACACACGTAAACACAACATGCAATTTTTAAAGGAAGGTTTTTATTATTAAGGGAAAACAAAATCCAAACCCACATGGCCCTGTGTGAAAAAGTGTTTGCACCCCCCTGTTAAATATTTTTTAAATTCATATTAGTGGGCCGCGGGATTTAAAATTATGAATTTAGTGGTCCATGAGATCCGAAAGGTTGGCGACCGCTGATCTAAATGACATATCCTGTGTATGTGTGTACAAGTGCCAAATCCTTCCCAACATAAGGGATGGAGAACCAGCCGGTGGACGAGCCATGTGGCACATACGGCTGCAGAAAAATGGCTGTGGCTATATTGTGCTGATTATTTCATTCATGATCTGTTCACACTTTGCCGTTTTTGCGTGTTGCGTTAATGCGTGTACCTGAGAACTTGCCAGAACTGACCCGGCAATGCCGGCATTTCAATCTGGTCATTACCATGATGGATGAAATCTTCAGGACAGCCTGTAAATGTGCACGCGTGATGTCATTCTAGTGAGTCACGCAAGCTGCCCACCTGATGTGCCAATGAGGAGAGGTGAACTGTGGTGCCAGCTGTCTGAAGCATGGGAATGGAGGGAGGTGGGCACAGGGAGAGACCTTGTGGCTAGGAGAGAGGCCTGTGAAGAAGGTCCTTCATTATCCCAGAGTGAGGGGGCAACTCTGCTGCTGGACAGATATAAGTCCGGCCTTGGTGCGAACCTAGTTTGTCCAGCCCGCTTAAAACTCAGAGCGCCCCTCCCCCTCCTGACCCAGTCAGTGGCACCCCTAAAGCTGATCATACATTGTTATATTTTTAACAGATTCCAACACCCAAACAAAACAGTGTCCTTTGTATTGAACGTGGAGGGTGTGCCTCGGTCAGAATACTCAAACAGTGATGGCAGCCAATCACTGGTTGCCTGAAGAGTTTTCATCCATCTCTTTTCTGACTGAAGGATGCCAGAAGAAAGGGTGCCGACCAGCGGCGGACCTAAGGAACAATGGACCCTGGTGCAAGATTTTTTTGCCCCCCGCTCTTACAATTCCCACACTGCCCACCTAAAAGCCTACACTGGCCATCTGAGAGCCCGCACTGGCCAGCTGAGAGCCCGCACTGGCCATTGGATCTCCACAGGCCACCTGAGAGCCTGCACTGGCCAAAAAGATTGTGGGCTTGTGGGCCGCTGCTATAGAGGACTACAACTCCCACCAATACTTTACATAGAAATGCAGAATGACTACAACTCCCAGCAATACTCTATACAGAAATGCCAAATAGAGGGCTACAAACATGTCACAGAACTTAGGCACATACAGAAGATGAAATTAATCACCTCACCTCCTTCTCCTCCTCGCGGCGGGAACATCATGTAGCTGGGAGAGGCGGCAGGAAGCTGATCGCTGGGTCCTCCCGGCCAAGGCCCCAGCACTGCCCCAACTTGTGCCTGCAGGGTGTTCTGCCTCAGTCCGGCCTCACTGCCAGGCGGCCGGACGGTGGGTGGCCGACCATCCAACATCTCTTGTATTATCTTGCCACTCATGCCTGGGTCTACTGGGCCCCTCCAGGCTCGGGCCCTGGTGCAGCTGCACCGGTGGTAATTCCGCCCCTGGTGCCCACAATCGACACCCACATCCCACCCACAAGCTTTAAATTGGCCATATGTGAATAGAGCTCTCCCATTCATCTCCACCCCCCGGCTATTGCATTCAGACAGCCCCAACCCATGGCTGTCTAAACACCTGAACAGTGGCTGCAGTTGATGAAGTAAAGTTGTTGTTTGGGTGACAATTTTCTACCCGCCACCTTCAATATTTCAATCAAAGTTTGTTGAGCCGGGTACTGCTCGAATTCTGGTCTGAAGGGATTGTCCAAAATTGGAGCCGTGTATGGCTACCCTTTAGTAAGGTGGACAGATTTGTATTATGCTTTTTTGTATTAGAAAGTGGCGCAGAGTTTCCTATTCTTTAAGCCCCTCCCTCTTTAAAGTGTAATTTGGCTACACTATCTGTGGGCAACTCCGGCCCTCCAGCTGTGCTTTAATTACAAATCCCAACACGTATCAGCCTCTGGGTGATATGCCAATATTCCTGTAACTGTCAGTCTTGCAATGCCTCATGGGACTTGCAGTTCCATAACAGCTGGAGGACCAGAGTTGCCCTCCCTTGTTCTACACCTACCATTCTCAGGAATTCCCATTTTCAAAGGATACCCGGCATGTTGTCGTGCGTTGTGCCACAGGGTACCATGCGTGACACAAGACAGCTCATGCTGCCAACACAAAAGAATGGGCAAGAAAACAGACAAGCAGCATTGTTTTTGACATCACTGGGTCTTCTCATAGGATCCCAGGAAAGCTCAGGATCCGAAGTCCCACAAGGATACGCTCCTGGTACTGGAACACCTTTTTGTGAGATTTGGGATCCTGAACTTTCCCAGAATCCCGCTGAGACCCATCGATGTCAGTAGGGATGCACCGATATCGATAATAGTATCGAGAACCAGTGCCAATACCGAGTATCTGGCCGAATACTCGTACTCGCCCAAATGCTCCGATACTGGAACTTCTGGTAAGAGGGAGATTTCCTCTGACCGACAGTGCCACGAGGGAAGATGGAGCTGGCTTCCCAGCCAATCAGGAATCTGGGCTGCAGGTCATGGCTGAGAGGCCGGCTTCCCAGCCAATCAGCATGAAGCTGGCTTCCCGGCCAATTAGGATGCTTGCAGTCGGCTCATTGGGGAATTGCGGCTGACCACAGGATGTTTCTTGTGTTCTTGTAGTATACACAAATTTCATGTTTGTGTTCGGCAACACATTAAATATTTATTTTTTGATGATTTTCCAACCTGCTCTTTTGATCAGCTGATCGCGGGATGTCGGGCAGGACAGGAGCACCCACTCTGTGAATTTTGGCCGGTTCATCAAGAACCAGACCAAATTTGCACAGTGTATAACCCACTTAAAGGAGAACTATGAGGTGAGTGCTTTTCACTCACCTCACAGGTCGGCTAAGTAGATCGGGAAGTGAGCGAACACATACCGGCGTTCGCTCACCTCTCGATCCTGTCACAGCTCTCTGCCGTGACAGGGGAGGGGCTGGATTCCCCCCTCCTCACTCCGATCCGCCAGCGCTGACTGGCGGAACGGACGGGGGAGGGGGCGGGTACAGCTGGCTCTTCCTCTAGATAGGCAGAGCCAGCTGTCACTCACGCAGCTGGGCGGATCCAGGCGTCTCAGTATACCGCGAGCTTTAGTTCGCGGTATACTGAGCTTAGCCCCATAGCCTTAACCCCATAGTTCTCCTTTAAAGTGACACTAAACTCAGGAGTTAAACCAGGGCGACAGCGTTTCAGCGCTTTTTTCAGGCGTTTTCTGTTCATATGTAAGAGCATTTTAAAGCTCATTTTCAGTTGCCAATGAAAAGCAGTCTCAGCTGCAGAAATGCGCTAAAAAAACGCGCTGATCGGCGCGTTTCCAGTAAAGTCTACAGAGCAAAATGAACTGGTAAGCACCACAAAAGAATCTCATGGACTATTTTAAACAACGGGCATATTGGTATGTGCGATTCAGCACGTTTGCGTGAACGGCCCCCTAAGGAATACATGGGATTTTGATTTGCATGTGTTTCAGCGCAGAAAAAAACGTGCAACGAAACTCCCTGCTGTGAATGGGGCCTTAGATTTTACTCTATCATGGGAGTGAGCTTGGAAGGTGGCTACTTTTGTTCCCCATGATCTCACAGCTGGCTCCGCCTAGTTGTAATGACAGATCAGTGTCCCTAAATGACCTGAGGATGTTGATCTGTCATTAAACAACAACAACTGGGCGGAGCTGGCTGTGGTTCCACAGCCGGCTCTGCACAGTTGTTATTCATTGACCGGGACCCTAGCAGGTACCGCCCAATAGGAAACAGTTGGGCAAAGCTAGCTGTCATTGCTAACTCCGCCCAATTGTTTTTATTTATTTATTTATTTTTTCTTTTTTAAATATCGTTATTTATTTTTTAATTTCACTATTTATTTTAAAAATTTATTTATTTTATTTTATTTATTTATTTTATTTAAAAAAAACAATTTAACCGTTTTTCCCCCCTACTATTTTAACTATTTTCTATTCTGCTCGGTACCATGGAGGTACTGAGCAGCATAGCCGAGCTGAATGCTGCCTGGCGGCATTCGGCTATTCACTCACCGACGCTCGGCCCCTATGTGAATAGGGCCGTAAGGCAGCGAGTGAGCTGCCGGAGCTTCAGTTCAGCCGATCCAGATGTTGGATCGGCTGAGTCGAATCCTTCTGCACTTCGGCTCAGCCAAACTTGCAGAGCATGTTCGGCCACTGAAGTGCAGCCGATGTACGGCTGATTTCAACCGATGAACGCCTGCAATCAGCCGTACAAGCCAAAAGGGAATCGCCGAATGTTGTTCGGCTCACTTTTCTTCGGCTGGGCTGGGTTAGTAAGCTAAACATGAGATTGTAGTCCATCACAGGAGCGAGCTTGGAGCGGTGACTACTTTACAACACACAGGGAGCATGGGGAACAAAAGTAGCCACCCTCCAGAAGGAAGGACAGTGTCAGCACCAATTCAGAGATGATTTGAGGATCTACAGCTGAGTGATACACAAATACATTTTTGTTAATAGTTAGGGTCCTTGAATGTATTTTTAAGGTTTAATTCCGGAGGTTAGTGTCACTTTAAGTGTAAAATGATCTGTGCTCTGAAATCAGCTGACATTAGGAGTATCTACAATGACTGCAGAAATGGAAGAGAAGGAGCAGAAGGTGATTGACACATCATCACATCTACCATCTCCCCCATCTGTAGCTCTGATAGTGTCTTCTTGCATGTTCTGGGTTTGGGTGAGGCTTGTCTTTAGACATCTTACTCAGTCCAGTCAAAGTATAAAGCTGAACTCCGGGATATGTCTAAATACAAGAGGCATGTCTATTATTACTCAAAGTAGTATTAAACTCTCAACGTTTCTTTTCAATAATGAATGCAGATCAAACAAACATACATTGCCCAGCAAAGTATGTTGTTTAATTTTTGCCCAAACAATTACAGTCTCCGGGGGGAATTTATCAAAACTGGAGCAGACAAAATCTGGAGCAGCTGTGCATGGCAACCAGCTTCTCTCTTCAGTTTGTTCAGTTAAGATTTGAAAATGAAGAGAGAAGCTGATTGGTTGCCATTCACAGCTGCTCCAGTTTTTGTCTGCTCCAGTTTTGATAAAATACCATTCATTATGTTTCCAAACAGCTCTAACTGTTTTATCTCAGCCTCCCTTAACTTCCTGTCCAGTACAAGATCACAGGGAACAACACATTTTCCAGAAGGTTTCCATTGAGAATAGAGGAATAGGAGAGCTTGGAGGAGGGGAAGTTGCTTACCTTGCTGTGTCTGTGTGTTGGTGGAGACACACAGCTTACTAGCGCACACAAGGGTGACTCCATAGGACGCTGCAAGGGAAAGGAGCCACCCTAAAACAGGATATCAGGACCAGAATTAAATATAACTTTAAATCTTGTTGAGTTTTGTGTATTTCTTCAGATCTGTGCAGTAATCCTGTCTTTAACTCTTCCTCTGTGAAGGCGCTTCCTGTAATAAAGACCAGTCACTGATGCTCTCTTTCTCCTTGTGCAGTGTGACTGGTATTGTCTCCGCCCATCCTATAGGTTTATGCGGGCAGCTTGCAGTGGGTGGGGCCTGCTGCGTCCCTTCCACAGCTCGGCTTTATGTACAGGCTATGTGCAGGACATTGATGATGTCACTGCCACTTTTGCTGGGTAATATCTGGGGATGCCAAGGCATTTGATGCAGGTGAAGTTGATTTATGTCCTATGTGATTATTGAGGAATATACTTCAATTAACATTTTTGTGTATTTCTAAATCACAATACTATGTGTATCAGAATACTATTGTCAGCCCACGCTCTGATCCTCAACAATTCACATCATGGCAATTGTACCCATCACCAACTTGCCAGACTAACCCACATGTGTTTCCATAAAAAGCAGCAAGACGAAAAGTATATAGAGATGACGGGAATATGGCTTTTCTGCGCCTCCACATTTTTCTTCTTTAGTAAATTACACCCTTTTACTGCTATAACAATGCAAATGTAGAGCTGACTGACTAATCCATGTTTATCCTTCTGGGTTTGTAGTTTGCAATTTATCTCAATTGTTTGTTTTTTTTGTACACACAGATCATGTGATAGGCATTGCTGCAATATTTGTGAAGAACATCCTTGTATGGCTTAATCCAGAGGATTCTGAGGTCTCTTACAAATGAGCGCCATCTAGTGTCACATATAGTGTATTGCAAGGGACAGAATTTCCAATTCCTACCACCAGTTTTCATTCGTGCAGTTTTCTATCTTCCCCTCTGCAGGATACTGATAACATAAACTGAACATAACAGAGTTCAGAGTGGCTTTGAAAAAAATTGCATGTGCTGGAATGTGGGAAGAACACATTTGGCCCAAAAGGAGAATGAGGATATAGTCAGCAGACTTGTGCACAAGTTTAGTTATCGTTTCTATTCCAATTTTTTTTTTTCGTATTCTGAAATTTGGATCCGTTCGATCTTCAGGATTTGGATCGATC